AAAAAAAAAAGCAAAGTCAGGCTAATTGGAATTAGACTAGTGGATTCGTCACTGGCAAATAGCAAATTCTAAATGTTAATAATGATGCAGGTTGATGATTTGTTTTAGTTACAAAACAGAAAGGCAGCTAGGCTAAAGTTACAGTAGTTCTCAGTGCAGAAAGACTACTTCCTCTGTTGTAGCATTTAGTTCTGCAGGCTTTGAATACTATATGTGCATTTCTTGTGAAAGCAACTAAGTTTTCATAACTTAAGAAATTACCTCAAATGAATTCTGAATTACTTCAGAAATTACTTGAATTCAAAGCACTTCTCCTTCCAAGAGGATTATACAGCCATATAAGACTTAAATATTTAAAATCTAAACTATTTCATGCAAATCATTTGCCATTCATTCTTTCTTAGTCTAATCAATCTTATTTCAGCTCAAGACTGACAAATTTTGCTCAAACAGATCGTATTATCCCCAGCATGAGTATAAACAAAAAGGTTACTCTTCATTTTTATAAAAAACATGCAGAGCAGTAAACAAATCAACAGATACATATTAATATTATTATTATAGGAATAAAACCAGCAATTGCCTCCATGCAGCGTGCCCTGGGGGTCAAATGAATCTCCATCAAGTGTAACACTTCTTGCCATTATCCTTTTGTCAAAGGACACTTTCTTAGCATTATCCATGTTATCACAGACTAGTGCTGTTCCAAAGACATATTCCATTGCTTTCTGCAGTTCAGGATCATATTGAATCAGAGAAAGGGCTAAATGCAAGTCATCATGACCAGCCTAGAAATCAAATAGAATGCAATTAGACTTAATTGCCTTGTTACAATAATTTTCAAATCTAATTTCTGTCTTCTCTTTGTAAAAACACTTTCAAAAGAAATCGCTACATTTTAAAACAATTTCACTTAAAAGTGGAAAAGTGGAATAATTAATATCTATTTAAACATTGCCTAGCTTAAAGGATACAAAGGAAAAAAAATAAAATCAAGATACCCTAAAACACTATAGAAGTTCTTATTAATATAACCACTAAGAAGTGCATGTTTTTAGTAAAGAAACAAATTGAAAAAGGTACCCAAGCAAAACAGTGTAAATAGTGTATTTATTTACATACCAAGGTTTGGGCCAACTTGACCTTGTCTGGTTCAACACACCTGGCTGAAATTTTGTTTAGTGGAATCATGGTGTATCGACGCTTTAGTTCACCCTTTTCTAAAAGCTTTTTGGCAGCAACCTCAAATGAGAAGAGTTACAAAGCATACCTGAATACAGAACTGATATTGTAAAGTCAGACAATAAAGCATAGCAAGACAAATACAGTGTTGCCAGTAACTATACATGACTCTCTTGACCAAATTTAAACATGTACAGGGGTCCAAAGTACCTCTTAAGCATTCAGTGCAAGGCACATGCTCACTAACTGTGAATCACACAACCTCATCTCAATATTCAGAGTTCTGTATTAAAGTAATAAACATACCTCTGTGTCCACAACAATGTTATAGAGTTTCCCTCCAGCCACGACTTCTAGGGCTTTTGCTTTGGACTGATCTTTCACAGTGATAAGAGACACAACAGAACCTTTCACGTGGTTTGGATTCCAATTTTTTTCTGGATCTCTTCAAATAAATTTAAATTATGATAATCATATGTTTGTTTCTCTCCCACACATCTTAAAAAAAATTACATTTAAAAACTCATCCTGCTTATTATACTGATATAAGAAATTCTAAATTCCCCTAGGAAAAAAACCAACAGAAAACGGTTAAAATAAATACTTCAGGACAAGAGATTTTCCAGTAAAGAGTCAGTTAAGAGTCATTAAAAGAATGTCCTTCCTGATTTTGGTATAATTTGTTCGCAGAATTTTCAACTGATTCTTACTGTGCACTCTATTATTAGCACAGCTATAGGAATACATTCAGACTAATTATAACACAAGCAAATAAATCTGGGGATACATATACTTGATTGGTGGCAACAGATACAGTGTTAACTTCCACAGAGCAAGCTATTCACAGTTCTCAGGCAGGACTCTGAAAAGTAATGATTACATATTTTTGCAGTTTAGTCTTTTGGATTCTGTTTTAGCTCCTGAAGTTGAGGTATGGCTTGCAAACACCATCATACAGAACTTTTCAATTCCAGTGATTTTGATAAGGCTGTTACTTAAGAATGTCTGTATTATCACTTCCCCTGTTGCCCAATAATTCAGTTAACATTTCCTGACTACCCCCCCACGCCCCATCACCTGCATCACAGGTAAGATAGTCATTATTCACTGGCACTAAAGGAAAACGACACCTAAGCAATTGATGGCATTATCCTGTAAATCCCATAAGCCATGCATAAAATGCCCCCAAAATCACTTTCAAATGTCTTATAGGGTCACATTGAGATCTTACTTGTATTCAAAGCGTAGATAAGGAAACTTTGCCATTAAATGTTCACATAATTCTCTGAGCCGGCTGATGTCACAATCCAGTATCTTCTTTTTTGCTAAAAGGTCTTCTTCTTTCTCTTAAGAGTTGAACACAAGCAGTAGACAAACATCCAGAGCACAGAAATCTATTAGCTTAAAAATTGGTATGCTACACTGTTTATCTACATATACGTAGAGAACATGTAATTGAAAGACTTTCTAAAATACTTTGTGAACTTCCAGTTTAGACAAATTAACACCATCACAATACCAAACATGCAAAGAAAAAGTTTAAAGTCTAATGTGCTTCTCTGAATGTCATTCTGGAATACCAATTTACAGTTTTGAGTAGCTTCTGCAACAAATGTCACCTGGAATGAAAAATGAACTTTAAGAAGTGTTTTAGGCAGGGAAAACCAGGAAGGAATAGGGAGGTTAGTCACTTTTTCCATCTAAACTTTAGATGGAATTTAGATTTTCCACCAAACTTTAAAACATTCGGGCTAAAGTTTATAAAATCAAATTACTTTAAACTATTTTCTGTGGCTGGCAACAGCTTGCAGAGCTTCAACCAGAGAAATTTATTTGTGCATGAAAGCAGTATATTTGTTCCTTATCGTGTTGGGTCTGCTGGGATGGAGTTAATTTTCCCCAAAGCACTGCTCATAGTACTGTGCTTCGTATTTCTAGTAGAAATGAGCTGATAACACACCAGTGTTTTGGATACAGCTGAGCAGTGCTCCCACAGCATCAAGGCTGTCTCTCCAACCCCACTTCAAAGATCAGTAGGCTGGGTGTGGGCAAAGAGGCTGGGAGGGGACATAGCCAGAACGGCTGACCGAAGTGATATTCCATACCACATGAAGGCGTGCTCAGCAATAAAAGCAAAGAGAAAGCAGGAGGTGAGGGGGCATTCATTATTAAGGCATTTGTCTTCCAGAATAGCCACCACACACACTGAGGCCCTGCTTCCCAGGAAGTGGCTGGACGGACATTGCCTGCTGATGCGAAGTGGAGAGGAGATCTTTTTGTATTCCTCTGCTTCTGTGTCTGACAGAGACAGTTCCAGCTGACCCCACAATGGACCCACCACTGACCAAGGCCAAGCCCATCAGCAACAGTGGTAGCATCTCTGTGACAACATATTATACACGGGGTAAAAACTGCTGCACAACAGCAGCTGGGAGAGAAGACTGGGAATATGCAAGAGAAACACCCCTGCACACACCCATCTCAGTACAGATGGAGGAGGAGGAGGAGTCCAGGCTCCAGAGCAGAGATTCCCCTGCAGCCTATGGTGAAGAACATGGTGAGGCAGGCTGTCCCCCTGCAGCCCATGGAGACAAGCAGCGGAGCAGACGGACCCCATGCCAGAGCAGGTGGATATGCCCCAAATGAGGCTGTGACCCCGTGGGGGACCCACACTGGAGCAGTTTGTGAAGAACTGCAGCCTGTGGGTGGGACCCCATGGTGGAGCAGAAGAGAGCAAGGAGGGAGGAGCGGCGGAGGCAACATGTGATGAACTGACCGCAACCCCCATTCCCTGTCCCCCCGTGCCACTCGGGGGTGGGGAGGCAGAGAAAATCAGGAATGAAGTTAGGCCTGGGAAGGAGGAAGGAGTGGGGGAAGGAGTTTTAAGGCTTGTTCCTATTCCTCATTACGCTACTCTGATTTGATTGATAATAAATGTATTTCCTCAAGCTGACACTGTTTCACCCAAGACGGTAACTGCAGAGTGATCTCCCTGTCCTTATCTTGACCCACAAGCCTTTCATCATATTTTCTCTCCCCTGTCCAGCTGTGGAGGGGAGTGACAGAGCAGTTTGGTGGGCACCTGGAGGACAGCCAAGGTCAATCCACTGTAATGTCTATATTCCTTTTCAGATCCCCCCAAAACAATACAACAGAAGTTTGTACAGACCTTCGTAGTTCAGCTTCTTCATTTCGTTCTCTAGTTTTTCTTTCGTTTTTCTGATAGCTTCAAGTGCTTCTTGGTCTTTCTTGTAGCTTCCATCCATCTTTTTAACTTCAGCTTGTTTTGCCTTTAATTCTTGTTGTGCATAATTCAACTTCATTTGAATCTGTAAGGAGTAAGAAAATAGGGAACCAGAAGAACTTCAAAGAGAATCTTGCAGGTGCAGATTTAGAACATGTGCACTAACAAGGTGCTCATATAATTTGTAAAAGTTTCCACTGGTTGCAGAAATGCGAAAAAGCAGCCTTGGCTTGAAAGCAAGGGCACAGCTGATTTGGAAATAAAAACATAAGTCACGTATTTGGATATAATAACTCATATTAGTACATAAATAAAGTCTGAGAAGAAACAAGGTAAAATAATGTGGGACACAGCTGTCCTTGTTATTTTCCCCAATAGAGTTTTTCCTTAAATGAGACAAGCAAAGTGCACTTTCAACTTTGAAAATTTAAATTCCACCATGAGAATTACCCCAGCAGAGGTTTCCTATCTTAAGACAAAAGTGGCACCAGTTTCAGTCATGTGACTAGCACACAATGTAACTGAGGAGAAAATAGTTTCTTCTGAACTCTCCATTCAGTCTCAGACACCTTTATTTTGACCCATTACATTTTACTGCAGCAATCTCTATAGTATGAATGTATAACATGAACTGCAGTCTTAATTTCTTCCTATCCAATACTGTCAGTCATTTCAGTACTGTGAGTCCCACTTTATGTCTCAAATGCAGTTTCTATACTTCCTCATAGCAATGTTACAGCTTTTCCCTGTTTGTCAGTATCCATGCAAGGATATTTTTCCTTTTAACGACCTGTTTTACCACAACGTCACCTTAATAACTATGCCAACTTGTAAAAGTGTCTTGCATAGATATTCTGCAAATCTTTTCACTGACGTTTCAAGAGTGTGCCATTTGGTGTTCAGAAAATTTTCAAAAGAAGAAGGAAGGCTGCTCTGGGACAGGCAGCGCTTTGATTGTTACCTGTTTAGCCTCTGTTACTGCTTTGCTGATTTCATTTTTGCAGGTCATCATCTGCCTAGCAAGAGTATTTTCTTCTCCATCGTCACTGCTGGACAAGCCAGCAGACACAGCATTAAAATGCTTTTGTGCTGCAGCTAAAGCATCTGCATCTTTTTCACTTGCTTCCTGTAAAGCACTTAGTTCTTTCTCGATCTTATTTACTTCTTTCTCCTTTGACACCAGAGTTTTAGAATCCTTCAGCAAAACAAAAAACAAAAAAAAGGAAGAGTCCCATTAACTTTAAACTCATGTTGTTTAGATGAAAAGCTATGAGTAGTTTCATCAACTACATTTCAATGACCCTTTGTCAGATTTTGCGATCTTACAATTTGTCTTTGCATGTTTTCAAGTGTGTACTTTCCCCATGAGTGCACTGAAGATCTATAAAAAGTTGAAATACAGGAAGAGATGACAACTGCCCAAGAACTAGGAGAAATAGCTCTTTCTTCCCAACATCTTAAAAGTATTCTTCAGCACTCTTCTTGCATAAAAAAAAAAAATCAACTGTCAGAAATAGGCAATGTAGAAATTTCTCCTTTAATTTTAAGAATACCAGATATCCAGAGAGCATAATACTTTTGAAGCTATCTCTCCTGAGCTTAACAGAAGGTTGGCAACCATAAAGAGTTGTAATTTCTTTGTGTATGAATCACATTTATTTCCAATGGAAACCTACTACCTATGTCACACAAATCAAACAATGACTTTACCATCTGTTTCTGCTTTCCTGATGCAGTTTTTGCCAATTACAGGATTTTTCTTATAATAGGCAAGAAAAAACAGCCGTCCCCCTCAATCTGAATTAATTTAGTGTTTAAAGAAAATTATATACAAAGGTCTTACCTCCTGCATTCTTTTTACCAGTTCTTTGTGTTTAATCTCTTCATTTTTTAAGTTTTGCTTATTGAGATCAAGGGCACTTTGAGCTTTAGCATTAACTCTTTGAATTTCTGAAAAAGCATCCTCCAGTGAATGGAGCACACTACCAACTTCCTACAATCAGAAATAAAAGAAATTTAATTTAGTCTAAGAAACTGATACAGTATTTGTAATATTTCACCATCTGTTCACAGCTATATGTAGGAGAGGAGATAAAGATCTGATCAAGTAGGCAGACCTCAACGCAAACTGGGCAGAACATCTCTTCCCTCTGAAACCCAGACTAACTCAAAGCCACTGTTGAAGGTTCGCATCATCCCATACCATGGGACACTGTCCCTGTACAAAGGCTGCATTTAGGCATCCGAAGACTCTATGGGCCATCCTGTATCTAATCAAATCTACTGTCCCCAAACTGAGGTCAGTACTGATTTTTGTTGAACAGGAGTTTCCTACCTGAAGTGTGTTTCTTCTGAGACATTAACAAAAAGGGAGGAAAAAAAAAATCTCTGGCAAAACTTACCATTGAACGCGCAGAGCGGAAACATGAGGGCAACCAGTTTCTATTCTTTGGTTACTATTCATTTACAGCCATTGGAAGTAAAGCATTTCAGACAAATGAAAACTTAAAATTGATATATTTTAGACAATAGCCAAGAATGACAATGAGCAGTGTATAATCTAATAATCACTAGAAGATAAAAATTCAAAGGTATATTATCTGTAAAAATAATTATCTTGTCATTTGACTCCTTGTACTCAGATATTCAGACAAGTAGGATGCTGTTCTCACTTACCTCATCCCTTTTCTTTTCCATCTCCGCTATTTCTTCATTAAGTTGGCTCACCTTCTTTTCACTTTCAGCTATTGATTCCCGAAACTTCTCTACATCAGCCTGCATTTCCTTCAATGCTTCAGCAGAAGACTGCTCTGTCTTTTCAGCCAGAACAAACTGATAAGCTGTATAGAAGCGGCTGAAGTGGTCTATTTTTCGTACTGTTTTTTGGTATTCTAAATAGGATGATTGTTCCTGAAAGACACCAGTGAAAAAAAAAAATCTAAAATTTGATGGAAAAATAATATTAAGTAGGACCATTATAGAAATCTTCTAAGCACTTCTACTAACATTACTATTAGTAGATAAAAGTAAGGATTCTCCATGTTAAGTAATATATTCAGTATTGTACATTGCAGGCCTGATCAGGAAAACCTTAGATAAAACAATACTCATACAATTGATTGTACAGCAGAAATATCACTTGACACAAATTTTTTTAAGAACTAGGATACGTTTTTATCTTCTATTTTTATCGAGTTCTCTTGTTTTCTTCCTTCTCCCTACACTCCCCTCTAGGATTTCATGGAAGTCCTGAATGTCCCATTTTCTGTATTTGTACAGAAGATAAGATTTCTCTCTTTTACAAAGCTTGAAAACATGCTGTTGTTTTAGCCACTACATAGTGGTTCAGAGTAGCTGAAAGTATTTTTTCAGTACTTTATGGGCCCTACAACTCTTCTAAGTTTTCCATACCTCTCGCAGTTTATGTAAAGTTGGACCGATCTCCTCATCTAAGACCTGAAACACAAACCAGAACATTTATATTCCAATCTTTAAAACTCTCATATGTCTGAGCATGAACAACTAGTTCCAGGTGCAGAAATGAAATATTCTACAAGTTAAAAACCACACTACGCTAGTTATTCAGTTATCTTTAACAAATACAAAAGAAAGTATACTTTCCAACATGTAGCACCTTTTGAATGTTTTTCAGTTTGTCTTCCTTCTTCTCTATGGTTTTCTGGGCAATTGTTTTCTTGCATTCATACATCCTAGTACCAGCTGCTTCTTCAACCATAGCTAAAATCTAAAGAAAAGCAATGCAACAAAAATTTTGTTTCTTCTTAGATAGGTTCAACTCAGAACTGAGCTTAACATCTTATCTCCCTCCAGCACCGTTGTGGTTTTTTTTTTCTGTTGTTCCCCCCGCTATATTGATTCTTGAAGTTAAAAACAAATCAGTAAAACTTCAGAAAAAAACCTCCCACAACTTTCTTACCTCTGGTGGCTTCATATTTAGAACTTTGGTAATTCGTCCCTGGTGACAGAAAGATAAAACAAGAATGGTGTTTAGGCACCATGCAATAGTAAAACAAAACCTACCAAAACCCTAAACTCAAAAAAACCCACTCATTTTTAAATGTTTTATGTTCAAACCTGGTGGGGTTTTTTGCTACAAGGATAATCTAGTTTGCTCAATTGTTTCGGTCTTGAAAGTTCAAACAAGTCATTCCTTCAGGCAACACGCTTGAAACAGCCCTTATATCTTATCTTAGGCTTCTCCTCCACATTTCAGATTACACCCTAAAGGAGTAATGTGCACATTTTGTCTTAAGAGCCTTACTGAGTTCCTAATGTTGAATAAGTTCTTAATCATAAACTGGCTTTTTGGAGATTTATCTCATATGTAATTAGGGGGAAGCAGAATAGATGCAAAACTGCCCTTACCCCCTCCCCCCTGCCTCTGCAAGCTAGGACAGTTCCATTTGAAACAGCAAATCTTGCTCTGTTTTATTATTCCTTGCAAATGTTTCAGGGATTTGTCTAGTCCCTGTGCTGATGTTTATAAGGGCCTTTTTCAATTGGTCAGGTATATCAGCTTCATTCAAAATAGTGTCTAACATGGAACATGCATAATAGGAAAAAAAAAATCTCAAAAGCAACACCTGTCTGCGAAAGAGACAAAACAGAAAATAGAATTGGAATGTGTTTTAGAAAAAGCTTGCTACATGAGGGCTACATGAGGTTTTGTGCTGTAAGACAAGGACAAGTTTTAGGGTCAAACTATGCTGTACTGGAAATCTTAACAACTCCACAGACATTTGATTTTTACTTGATAAGAAATAGCTTTTCTCTGATCATAAAATTAAGTGTTCTTCCACTATCTGTTCTGCCTCAAATTTAATACAACTTCTCTTCTTTTTGGGTTTTATAAAGATGTACACCATACCTGCATAATGAGGAAGTGAGGGTTATTGACATTGAGTCCAACAGAACAGAAGAGATCCTGCACACGACTGCAGGCAGCATTCACACCATTGATAAGATACTTATTTCTACCTCCAATGATAATCTGGAAAAGGAAAAGAAATGGAAAAAAACTTCAAGTGACATAAAAATTACTTGACATCATAAGAATTTAAACTGTAATAATAAAGAATAAAAAATCCCATATGTCTGAGCAAATCCCATATAACTTTGCATACATATACATACACAAAACATCAAAACATCAAACCAGAGCTTGTTGAACTGAAGAGGCATTTAAAATACCTAACTAAAACATAAGAAAGAACAGTCATTGAGGGCAATACTGACAAAATTTCCAAACACTTTAAAAAAAAAAATATTAGGAGACATCTTCATCAGAAAGATGAAGGTTCCTTTGTTATTAGAGACCAAATTTAACAGAGATATTAAGAGGAAAATATGAAAGCAGAATAAAAACCCACAAAATAGAAAATTTTAACTTGCTTTTTAACTTGTTTTAGGAACATTATTATGATGTTTCTGTGCAAGTCCATAGAAAACATTATTGACATAATACATTTAACAATATTACACTAATTTCCCCAGTAATTTTTTTTTTTTTTAAACTAGTACACTGGATCTAATTCTACAGTTCATGTTACTAACTACACTGTAGAAGCACCGCCTCAATTGTAAAAACTCAGGGACTTCAAAAATCACCTTTTTTTTTTCCTCCTTAAAAAGTCACTCTATTGAGCATGCTAAAAATGTATATAGGCTACTAAGCAATACAGATATTAAAGACTCACCTGCCTACTGATGGTGATCTCATCACTAGCTTCAAATCCCAGTGGACTTACTCTCTTGTCAGAATTATCAAAGGTAACGGACACAGTTGCTTTAGCAATTCCAGCTTGCCCACCTTTATAAACAAGATCTTGAAGGCTGACAGCTCGCACCTAAGTTCATGGAACAGATAAATACATTTTTGAAAGAATTTCATCACACAGCTTCAGAACGCTACTGTAGGTTTTGGAAAAATGAATAACTGAATACATGTTTAAAAGAAAAAAAAAAAAAAGCCAGATGACCAGTTCAGTCACCAGTACGTTTACTTAAAGATCATTTATTATCATAACGCAGTTCACAGACAAATGAATGGGAACGTGTTCCTTGGAGGTCTGCTGGATTTATCTGCAGTTGGGGAGGGACTAACAAGAAGAAAATCACCTGAAGACAGAGATTCAGATTTATGTCAGAGCACACAATTTTTTTATGAGTAAAGCAGATATATCATCTTTTAAATACCAGGCGTTGCAGGAAAAGCAGCTTTTAATTTTTTTCTGGTGAACACAGCCAAATTTTAAGACCCAATCCAGAAATGAAAAAGTTTATGACAAACTAGTTAGCGCCTTTAGCTGCAAAAGATCTTTGGCTTGAGGCTGTCACCTTTTAAGTGAGTATTTTAGTTTAATGTTCTGAGCTGCATACTTTGAGCTACTGTAGTACATTGATGAAACTGTAATTCAATCTTAATATAAGAAGTTTCGTGTAATGAGAAGTCCAAATAAATACAACTTTTTTTTTTTTAATAGAAGCACCACTTCGGGTCTTCCATTAGAGATTACGCGAAAACGCAACATGAAATGCTGCTGACAGAAGAAAGACCTTTCTTAAATGCCCCCTCTCTCTTTACCTGTGTCAGATTGCTGATTCCCAACAGGAAACAGATTGAGTCCAAGATATTGGACTTGCCACTACCATTCAAACCAGTAATGGCATTGAAAAATGGGTCAAAGTCACAAACTTCTGTCCTGTGGGCATAGGATTTAAATCCCTCAAGAACAATTGACTTGATGTACATCTTCTTTGTGTTCCTAAGGCACCTGGCACAGTATTCCTCCCAAGAGTATGAAGAAAGGTTTCTGGATTGTAGTCCTAAATATTTCAAAGAAAAACAAGAAAGAAAAAAGAAGAAGCAAACGAATCACACTGCATGCCAAACAGCTAAATGCACGAGAAAATGGAAAGAACATATGCCTTTTACAACAAAAACATTATGCATTTATAAACGGAAAATTCCAATCAGACCCCAGGAAGCATCCCAACAATAACCTGTACTTCGACACCTTCAAGCGACGTGACTTTACACAACGTCCATCACGACACTTGTATCAAGACTGTGGCACAACCCTGGCCGTTAATCTATCAGGGAAGGAAGGGGAAAAGCCTGGATCTTTCAGAACCGGGCAGAAGGGGAGCCTCCCAGTCCAGCCTGCAGGATGGAAACCTGCTCAGCCCCACCGCACCGCAGGGTTGAAGCCCAGGAAAACGACAGCCTCGGCTCTGAGGCGCCGAGAACACAGCTCCAACCCGGCCCCGG